CTACGAAGTACGAGTCACCTAATATACTTATCAACAAGAAGTTTGAATTATCATGTATAAAAGAGCTAATGTTCTTAGAATCGGATGAAAAGATATTGTTACAATAAGAAGTATAAATAGTTGTAGTTTTCATATAATTATGGCTAAGCTATGAAATTAATGGTATAATGTAATAATGATCAGTCAAATAAGAGTTTCAAATTGTTTGTTGGTTTGTGGGTGTAAATGTAAAAGTTTGTTATAGTTAATGGCGAAAGAGATAAGAATGTATAAGATAAGGTGGTCATTTGTGTTTTAAAATAATTGTTATTATTTTCATAAGTTTTCTTCTATTTCTTACGCATTTTAGTAAACCTTTTCCAAAGTTAATTACCTAGCTGAATTTTCTTAAGTGATCTTTTTTTCTCCATAGCTAATCACCCTAATTTTCTTAATTCACATAATTGGTTTGCTTATGATTATATTCTACATTATGGTATAAATATAATCATATATAGATTCAAGGGAGTTTTTGTTTTTTTTATTGCAAACCCATAACATGTATATCATCCATCTCTCTCTTTCTCCTAAGCTTAATTGTCTTAAGAAATTAGCTTAAGAAAGTGTAATTAGATTACGTGGTCCGGAATTTTCTTAAGCTAATTATTTTGATTTTCTTAAATGCGCTCTCTCTCTCTCTTGACCATTTTAGTAATTTCATTGCCTGGCTAGCTATGCTGAACAGACTCAGAACTAGGAAAGCCCTAGCCAATATTGGACTGTGCTCTGATCCAGTTTGTTTGCTCTGTGGAGAAAAAGAGGAAGATAGAGAGCACTCCTACAGTAGGAAATGCCTAGTGATGATTAGTGACTGGCTGGGAGTTCAGGAACAGTGCTTCTCCATTTACAATACTTGGAAGAGATGGAAAAGTCAAATCAGTGACCCTATCCAGAGAAATTGTGCTTTAGCTGCTTTGATTGCTGTCATATACCACATCTGGTTGGCCAAATTCTTCTCTCTCTTCCTCGTTTTATTTGCAAAGCCATTCAGTTTGAGGTAGTCAATAGAGCTAGAAGTTTCATTAACAGCACAAGGAGTAGAAATCAATGTAAATGGCTGCATCACATCAGCTATAAGGTGATCAACTAGTTTTTTAGGGTCTTGACTGTTTAGATGGTCTGTTTGGCCTTTTTAGGCTGGTTGTAGCTTGGGTGAGGGCTTGCCCTCTATTTTTTTTTTCAGATTGTCTTTGCTAATCTCTTGTGCTGGTCCTTGTGATGTGTACCCTTCCTAGAAGGTGCCACATCACTTGAGGCCAGTGTCCCCCCTTCCTATTTTGAGGCACCCTTCCTAGAAGGTGGTCTCTTATAGGCTAGGGGTTGTATTGTATATTGTTTAAGGGCTTGCCCTCCTCCTTTTTGGTTTAATAAAACTACTTACTTACCAAAAAAAAAAAAGAGAGTTCTAATCATACATGCTTGAGTTCTTGCCGTGACAAGGTGATTGATACTACCATTACTAAGAAAGATCGACGCAACTAAGTACTACAGTTGAGGAAGGGTACAACATTGGATGTAGGTGATCGAGTTTGGTTGTCATTCACAGCTCAATGGCTCCATGTGAATTACAAGGATGGTGAACCTATGGATGAGGGTCCGTTCCAAATCATTGACAATGTGGGGTATGAAACCTTCAAGATCCTATTGGGTGATGGAGTATGTAGGTGCTACCTTGTCTTCATATATGCGACCTAGTTCCTTGTTATTCCCAATGAAACTTGAGGTCAAGTTTTTTCTTAAGAGGGAGTAATTTAATGCGTAATTTTATGGGTTCTTCAGACAAGCAATTTCAAGAAATTCGGAGATATGAAGCTATTTTATTTGCATGTTTATTAAGAACTTAATTGGTTATTTATCAACTTGCGAGTAGGGATGACCGGGTGAGCAAACTGAATATTCGGTCAAATTTTAAGAACCAAACCCACAATAGGTTGGGACTGGGTCCAAAAATTGCAATCAGTTCAACTAGTTCTTAAAATTTAGGAATTGAAATTGAAACCATCGGGTTTCATCGTTTCGGTTTCGAGCACCCACTTAGTATATTATTGTTAAAATATAATACGGAGTATTATTTTGGTCTTTTTTTTTTTGGGGGGGGTGGGGGAATAGAAACAAGTATTTTGGTCTATTTTCATTTATAGCAATTAATGCTTATATTTAAATTATTATAATTAAGAATTTATGTCTATTAGGCTTTAATAATATTTTTTTTGTACTAACTAGATACATTCAAGTATTCAACATATATTTTGTAGAAAATTACATATACTTGTAGTTTAACAATAATATGTTAAATAACTGGGTATCTGGTAGGCGTGTCGCGTACCTATCAAAAATAACCTAACAGACCAATACTAATGTAGACTGGCAAGTAAGGGTCGGATCCCAAGAGACTAAGGTTCAGGAACAATTAATTAGACTCAAATTTCTACTAAGCAAGAATCAATTATAATCGATAACTAAGGGCCTAAAATATAGGAAAAATTCGAAAATAAACTAATTAAGATGATTAAATCAAGCAATTAAAAACATCCAAGATCTAGCTTCACCACAACTATTATTGATGCAATTGTAATTCTACCCTTAACATACGATTTCAAGTGAACGGGGAAAAGTAAACCCTAATAATTACCAAGGATCTCTCTCGAGTATCAATGGCTTCCCTAACATACAATCAATCATATTCTCATGGTATCATGCATATTAAATACATTAAACACATTACTCTCACTTCCCAATTATCAAACCCAACTACTCTCGTGTTGAGAATCAAACCCTAAATTGATTTACTCAAATCCGTTTATACCCAACTCTCGCTGTGATAAAAACAATGGAATAATCGCAATACTATAGTTACGTCTAACCTAGCATTGGCATAATCACAATCAATTTAGCAATTCTATTGTTAAAGTTATTAAAGAATTTAAAGATTTAATTCATGCATCAATAATAATAGGGCTACACTAGATCTTGAATTAAAGAACTACTCACACATGATTAAAGAAACGAAAACAACAATAAATAATGAAAACATAATTAAATAATAAAGGATGAGAAATAAATACCAAATCTTGAATAAAATTGAAGGTAGAAACCTTGAATCTTGAATTACAAAACTTAGAAAAGTAGATGGACAACTAGTTCTTAATGAGAGAATAAAAATAATATAAGGCTTAATGAAAAAAAAACAAGGCTAAAAAGTATTTTATATGAGCCTAAAAAGATAAGAAAAACGGCTAAGCCTTGGCGCACAAGAATCCCAGGAGGCACGGATGTGCCTCTTCATAGGCACTGACGTGCCTCTACATGTAGCAAAATTGCTGCAGTTTCTGTCTTCCAAGCACGGACGTGCCTGATGCTGGGCACGGACGTGCCTGCTTCTTTACCTAGGCACGGACGTGCCTCTTCTGCTAGGCACGGACGTGCCTAGGGTCTTCCTTTGGCGCAACTTCTGGCACAGAGGCACGGACGTGCCTAATGGGGAGGCACGGCCGTGCCTACCTCTAAAATGCCATTTTCTTGACTTTTCTTCAATCTCCAAACTCCATGGGCTTTGACTTACTTCATGGATCTATAATTCATCCAAATTAGCTCCATTATTCCTGAAAATCATCAAAAACAACAAAACTACCTATAAAAGCATCGGATTATCCAAACTAAAGCAAAATACGCCAAAACGGACTCAAATACTCAACTAAACTAACAAAACTAACTAAAAACCAACCAACACTACAAGAATTAGGCCAAATTCCGACGGAAACGTTCCGACGGACATAAATTCCGTCGGAAAATTCGACATTTCCGACGGAATTTTGGTACGTCGGAAATTTCCGTCGAAAATGGTAAGTTCCGTCGGAAAATCCCTCGGAAATTTTCCGACGGAATTTTTTTCCCTCGGAAATAATAAAAGGAAAAAAATAAAAAAAATTAGGGATTTCCGACGGAATATTCCATCGGAATATTCCGACGAAATATTCCGTCGGAAGGTTTTATTATATAAAAAAAAAACCCTAATTTTCGGAATTCTCTTTCTCTCTCCTCTCTCCTCTCTCCCTTCGCCACTCCTCTTCTCTTTCTTTCTCCTCTCCTTCTCCTGCTCCTTTCCTCTTCTCCTTCCCCTTTCCTCTTCTCTTCGTCCTTCTCCTTCTCCTTCTCCTTCCTCCTTTCCTCTCCTCCTCGAATTGAGCAACAACAACAACATCAACAACGCAACAATTGAGCAACAACTAACAACGCAACAACAACATCAACAACAACAACATCAACAACAACCTCAACAACGCAACCGAGGGAATTTTTGTTTTTCTTTCCGGATTTTTATGTTATTGTATAATTTTTTTGTTTTTCGGAATTTTTTCGAATTTTTTGTATATAATTTATATATTATTCGGAATTTTTGGATTTGTTCATTCAATTTAATTTTTGGATCTGTTCATTCAATTTAATTTTCGGAATTTTTGGATCTGTACATTCAATTTAATTTTTTTGGTTTTTTTTTCGAATTTTTTTTTCTGTTTTTTGGGTGGCTGGGTGGGTGTGGGGTGGGGCTGCGTGGGGCTGGGTGGGTGGGTGGCTGGGTGGGTGCTGGGTGAGGCTGTGAGGGTGCTGGGTGGGGGCTGGGTGGGTGGCTGTGTGGGGGCTGGGAGGGTAGCTGTGTGGGTGGGTGGTGGTGCTGCGTGGGGCTGGGTGTGGCTGGGAGGGTGGCAGGGTGGCTGGGTTTTCCGTTTTTTTTTTATTTTTTTTTTTAATAAATTTTCCGACGGAAAGTTCCGACGGACTATACCTTTGAAAGTCAGATCCTGCTATGACGGAAATCATTCCGTCGGAATCGTCATTTCCGTCGGAAATCCGTCGGAAACGACCTTATTTCCGACGAAAGGTTTTCCGACAGACTTGTTCCGACGGATTTCCGACGGAAATGACGATTTCCGACGGATTTCCGACGGAAATGACGATTTCCGACGGATTTCCGACGGAAATGACGATTTTCGACGGAATTTCACAATTTTCCAACGGAAATTTTCCGTCGGAAATGAGCTTAATTCTTGTAGTGCAAATAATATACACAAAACACGACTTATCAGTATCTAACCAGTTTCGGTTCCATAAAAGTTGAGAATTGGAATTGGGATTGGAACCGATTCCTTAATTTATTACCCAAAAATGAAACCACTGTTCCAATTTCGATTTCGAACCCTCGGGTTTCAATTCTAGGTTTCCGGAATTTTCGCTCACCCCTACTTAGAGGGCATCAAAACTTGTTAATAGCCTTCATATTTATCTTGGCTAGAGTTATTTTTTCTAATCTTATTTAACCTAAACTTATTATTTTATTTAAAATTAGATAAGGTTTAATAAGTTGAGATGTCAGTCCAAACTTGAACCAGACCTATTTAAATTGATTCTAGAATATTATTTGAAAATATTCAAAAAATATAACATTATCAAAAACTTGAAAAAACATATAAGTAAAACAACTTTTTTTTTTCTTCTTTTTGTAAGTCCAATAAATAAAGCTCATATAGTAAATTGTTCCTAACTTATTAAGGTTAATCTTAATAAAATAATCTGTCACGTCCAAGACCTATTATGAAGGATTTCAAACCAGACTAAACTGAAGACCAAAAAAAAAAAAGTAAATTTCTATACCTGGAGTTCGGACCGATTTAAATGATGCCATTAGCTCAATTTTATGACGCCATTTAACATTGTTATCAGTGATAACTTATCATATATATATAAGTGTTGTCCCTGGTTTAGCACCTGTAAAAAAAAATAGTGTTGTCACTTATCAACATTTTACCTCCTTAATACAGTACTTTGTACAGTAGTAATTATGATGATGCAACTTCTCCGCGTGAGTAATTTATAGCACAAACTTCGTATATGTGTATGGTAAGAGATTAAGTTATTTACATTATGCAGGAGTTTCTCGGTATATATATTGTTAATTTGTGAAAAAAAAATTAAATTTATTCAACTATCTAGCCAAGAAACAACTATCTAGTTTTTTTTTTTTTTGAGGCAAAACTATCTAGCTTTTTGGAAGTTACTTGTGCAAAACATTAATCAAGGATTTATCACTGAAAAAAGGAATCACAAAAATATGACATTAATTAATGTATATATAATCAGTTATTAATTAATTACTGCCACCAAATACTTTCTTAAGCTTCTTGACTTGTGCATGATCAAGCAAAGTGACCTTCTGAACCACCTTGGACGGTAGATCGTTTGTAAACACCGCATCAACTGGTTGGACGCCGGGATTATCACTCGCAAAACTTGCATACGCAACAACCGGTGTTGAGCCAACATTGACCTGAAAGTGAAGAAGTTGTGGTGGGAAGATCATAATGTCTCCCTTATGTAACGTTTTGTAGTATGCCGTGTTGTTTGAGTCGATGAACCCACCAATGACGGTACCCTCAACTAATACGAGGAGTTCCGCCACTCGATGAGTGTGGATTGGTACGGCTCCACCAACACCTAAGTCTGCTCGTACCATGGAAATTCCCATACCATTTAACCCTGGGAATTGAGGGCTAAACGCTACACTTGCACCGAATTTAAACATGTTAGTAGTGTTACCCGCGACACCCAAACCCGAGTGCACAAAATCATCTGCCGTGACTTTAGCAGGATCCTTACAAGCGTACCCTGACGGTCCACTAGGTAGGCTCAAGTCTCCCACGCAAAAGTCCCAAACTGTATCACCACAAGAGATTGAAACTAGGAGAGAAAACGTTAACAAGGTAGGAAGATACATATTTGGAAGCTAGACTACAGATAATATTATTTTTAGAACTCGACTTCTCGTTGGTTATTTATATATATAGTGATCAAGTGAGTGCGTGAGTGTTAATTAAGTAAAAGGATTATTTAATTTAATTTACTAGTACTTCCTTTTTAGGCGTGTAGGGGAAGTTGGGGTACAACATGATTGAATTCATCAGTTGAGTTACTTGTGTTTGGCGTTACAGTAGATCTCAATAACCATAAATGTCCAAGGCCAACAACCACTTAGTTATCAAGTCACTTTAATGTGCGATTCAATTTGTGTTGTTAAGTCCTCGTTGCTTTATTTTTCTATCCCTTTACTTAATGTTATAGGACGCAGTTGGTGTTTTTTTAGATAGTTAATTACAGTATATGCTAAATTTTGTTTGTTTACTCCCCTCTATTACTTTCTCCCAGTTCAATTGAATGTGGACATATACAAAAATAGAATGTTGTATTCTCTTTCACGTGTTCCAAGGCAAATGATAAAATTTTCAATCCGCCGGCAAGATCAAGCATGGAAGATGTACTGTAATTTCCATTTTTCTCTTTGTAACAAATGAGCTAGCTCGTAGTTTGTGATGTATACTTTTTATGTTTATGTAAACCTTTGTTTAAAAAAAATAAAATAAAACTTGAGAGTCCTTACTCCCTTACACAAGGAAAAAAAATAAAATAAAACATTAGGTGTTGTGTCATTTTCTTGTGCGAGTAAGGGCCCTCAATTTCTATTTATTTGCTTGTATTATTTTATAATATTAATCAGTGTTTAAAATATGTTACGGATTACTTTTATTTATTTATTTTTTATGGGTGATGTTTTAATATGTTCCCTAAATTAAAAGACGTAATGTTTTACATAGAACTACATCCTACCTTTAAAGGTTGTGCTTGATATTGATAGCTAGTTTTTGGCTTTATGATTACACGAAGTGGTATCGATCTATTCCTTTATGGATAATAATTTGTTGACTTATTATCTATAAATTGATTGTGTTAGAGATGATTTTTCCTTATTTCTGCACGTTTCGACGAAGTAAATCGTATAACTATCAAGCTTTTGAGAGTAAAAGGAGAGAAAAAAGAGAGAGAGAAATAATTCTTTCACGTTCCTAATTAAAGCAAGTTTTTTGATTGTAGTGATTAATCATCTCTTTTTTTTTTTTTTTTTGGAAAGATTAATAATCTACTTTGTGCATGAAGATTTTTCTTATAACGATCTATATTAACTGTCTCCAAATCATTTTAGGATTAAAAATTTGTTGTTGTTGTTGTAGTGTGCATGGAGATTGATTAAGAAGAAAAAGTTTAGGCGAGTTAGTGAGTAAGATCCAAAATCATACGAGAAAGGGATATTCGATTTCAATTGTATAGATATGATATGATTTATCAACACTTCTATAAACTTATTGGTACAGAGTTTCGTCATATATATATTCCTATATACTCCATTCCAATTTGTTTTCTTTAAATTGTAACACTTACGAAAGACGTGCACATTTTCATTCTTCTAATTTAATAATGTGCATTTTTGGCAAATAAAGTTTACAAGCTGTAGAAGTATTGATATACTTCAAATAGCACTGTCAAAACGGTTTGACAGTTCGGTTTCGGTTCGGTTTGAAATCGGGTCGGTTTGAAATCGGTTCAAATGTCTTACGGGTCGGTTTCGGTTCGGTTTAAATAATTATCGGTTCGGTTTCGGTTTATTCTTGAATTGAACGGTTTAAATTCGGTTCGGGTTCTAAACGGTTCGGTTAGTAAACGGTTTGGTGCAGACGGGTTGCGGATTGTTAACGGTTCGGTGTAAACGGTTTTTAACCCGGTTTATATTCGGTTCGGGTTGTAAACAGTCCGGGTTGTAAACGGTCCGGGTAGTAAACGGTTCGGTGCAGACGGGTTGCGGCTTGTTAACGGTTCGGTGTAAATGATTTTTAACCCGGTTTAAATTTGGTTCGGGTTGTAAACGGTCCGGGTTGTAAACAGTCTGGGTTGTAAACAGTTCAGTGCAGACGGGTTGCGGTTTGTTAACGGTTCGGTGTAAACGGTTATTAACCCGGTTTAAATTCGGTTCGGGTTGTAAACGGTGCGGGTTGTAAAAAGTCCGGGTAGTAAACGGTTCGGTGCAGACGGGTTGCGGTTTGTTAACGGTTCGGTGTAAATGGTTATTATCCCGGTTCAAACAGTTTCAGGTTGGAAACTGTTCGGTTCTTTTTTGGTTTAGTTTTATTTTAGTTCGGTTATAACTGTTCGGTTCGTTCACGGGTTTGGTTCTTCTACGATTTAACATTATTTAGATCGGTTTTATTTCAGATTTACTAAATTACGGTTCGAGTCTGTTTTTTATTCCAAAAACTTTTGTACTACTTTCTAACTTTTTGCTAGTTAACAAGTTTTATATCAAGCCGAGACTTCATCACTTCATATTGAGGCATCATATTATATGCAAATTCTCATTAATTTTATAAATACATATCATGTTATGATTCAAGTTTAGCCATACTGATCTTACTAGTTTATTACGAAGTAGATTATAAAAGTTTAGTGCATTAATGTATTATTGTTTTACTATCAGATTATTATCTGCTTCTGATTTGATCATTTAGTTAATAGTGTCACAATCATGATTTGATGAGTTGTTGTGACATCGAAATTTGCAATTTGGTATTCGATACTTAATTAGTCAACAAGACTGATAATTAAGGCTCGTTTATCATTATATATTTGCATAAACTTATATATGAAGATATTACAAAGTAGTTTGATTTATACAATGAAAGAACACATTAATGAAGAAGAAAGTAATATTGATTCTTTCAATCGATTATACATATTAACATATACATAACATATAAGTATATAACCATCTTATATTCTCATAGTTAAATACTATAAGTATAAAGGGATGAAAATCATAAGATTATTATATTTTTCTATATCCTTTACTGGTTTACCCCTAAGGCTTAAGTCATTGATTAGTAATTAGTAATTATTTAATTAGACTAACAAGTTAATAAGAAAGAGTAACTTTTAACTTGAGTCTGATCTAACAGATCAAATACTGAAATGGTATTAGTATATTACCGAGTAGGATAGTCTAGTACACTATTATTCTATTATGCAGCTATGCTAAATTGACAATTGCTTTAATAGTCATATTAGTCAATCACTCATGTAGTCATAACTCATTTCTAATTAAGTAATTTGTATTTATATACTAATCTACTAGTCAATTATATCATTTATAAGTTTACACGATTACAAGTGTATTGCTTATACGTACAAATCCGTAATATTACTAGTTCTCTAAGATATGACGTCATTATATTATTAAACGGTCTTCGACTTTTTATTAATTGCAACGCTAGACATTTACACGCTAACCGATTCACATTTTATAATCTAAAGAACTTAATATTTTAATGTGTGTGTTAAAAAAATTTATAAAAACCGATTCACACTGACGCGCCCAATAACCACTCGTAGTAAGTAGTTTGTAAACGGTTCGATTTATAAGGATTCGGTTCATAAACAGTTCGGTTAATAAGCGGTTCGGTTTATAAACGGTTCGGTTTGTAAACGGTTCGATTTGTAAACGGTTCGGTTTATAACGGTTCGGTTTACAACGGTTTTTATGACAGTTTAAACGGTTTCGGGTTAGAAACGGTTCGGTTTATTTTCGGTTTGGTTTCCTTTCCAGTTCGGTTTAGATTTGGTTCGGTTCTAAAACGGTTTAACGTTACTCGGATCGGTTCGGTTTCGGGTTTACTAAAATGCGGTTCGGGTCGGTTTTCGGTTTCAAAAAATCGGTTTTTAATCGGTTCGGTTCTCATTCGGATCGGTTTGAATTGGTTCGGTTTCACCAATTCGGTTCGGTTTTTGACAGTGCTAACTTCAAATTATTCCCATTAGACAACTGCTGTTGCAATATTAATGATTTTAATGAAAGAAGATATGCACATGTACATCGATCGACAAAAGAAACGGTATAAATTTGTCAAACGTGATATTTTATTTTGTATGGGGTAGCCAACTATGAGCCTGTGAATAACTTTTAATTTTTATTAATATTACTAAAAAAACGACATATATATTAAGGCTCTATTTACTTTTTAATAAAACAAATGGAGTCATTATTTTAACACAAAATACTAAAATAAACTCATTTAGTCGTCAAGAACAATGACTGGACGGCGTAGACATAATATGTATTGTGGAGAATAATGCTAACAACGGGTGTTAAAATTGTATTTTTTTTTAACACTATTTTCATAGCTTGCATTTTTATTTTTTAGGTGGTTGTAACTTGTAACCCTATTTGTATACTTCCGGATCATTTTATTAGTTATTTAGTTTATTTCATGTTTGTATATTTATATACTTCCTCTGTTTCTTAGTACTTATAACACTTCTTTTTTCACGCTTGTCAATGCACTATTTCAATCGTTGATATCTTTGATTATTAATGTATAGAAATTATAAAAATTTGATATTATAAAAGTATAAATCAAGACGCGTAAAACAAGATCTCATGTGACTATATTTTTTTTAACCTATAAATCACCAAACCTTGCACAAATTTTTATATGTGGCTGGGGTTACTTGAGGGGTTTGGTCAGGGGTTACTTGAGGGGTTACTCGGTCAAGGGTTACATTTGTGTTAGCTGGCTATACAATGTGGGGCCAACCACACAGAAAAAGCCCCTCAAACCTAGTCAAAGTGAGATATGTGAATAGTGTAAAAATCAAACTGTTGCAAATAAAAAAAATAAAAAAACGGAGGAAATATATATTAGGGATGATTCTATTATAATTGTCATTTGAATCATGGCATATATTTATGGTAGCCTTGGCCTGAGTTGTAATTGGGTATTTAAGGTATATATATATGTGTAAGCTTTATTTTAAATAGGACTTTTTGTGAAAAACTACCTAATAAAATCTAGACTTTATGAGAAACTACCTAATAAAAAAAATATTGTAATAAACTACCTAATAAAGGTAAAATGTTGTAAAC